AAAGACAAACTTCACATATTCTTGCTTATATCTAGATTCTAGATTTGGAATCTTAGACATGTGCTTTACAACTTGAAAATTCAGAGATGTTGAAAAACTAATAAACTGCCATGTTAGTGTGGTGGGAAGGCTTCCTGGAAGGGGAGGTAGAATGCAGTGATATGAAGTGAGAAAAGAGAACACTAGACTAGGATGGGTTAAATGGCATGGGGAATAGAACAGGGCAGAAGAAAGAATACAGGGAGGGATAAATAACACTAATGGATTTAAAAAGAGCCATATGGAAACCTATCATTATAGAAGCTTCTTAAAGTATATACATATACATTATAAACAGATTAAAAGGAATTATCCTGTAACAGTGGGACATTGTCTTTTCTAGACATCATAGAATAATAATAATAAAAAAACCCCTCAATGTCAGGAATGGATTCCTTCTCTAGTAGATGTTGACCAGGGATCTCATCAACCCTGAACCATTACTGGCCATTGCCCCTGCTCCTGGTTACCCAGTAGATCTGGATAGTAAGGCCCTATTGCTGAAGACATTGCATACAGGAGCTGTAGAACAAACAAAAGGAAATCAAGCTGATGTTGGTTTCAGAGTCTCAGCTTTACTGGCTCGCATTCATATTTCTGGAAGGAGCTATGTAAGCTACCAGAAGGAAAAAAAATCATCATCTTACCCAGCTGTGAATCTTGTGAACTACAACAGCAGGTGGCCTGGCAAGATATGCCCACTGGTGCGATAGTGGCACAAAAATTGTGTGACTAAGCAACCACTCTTTAGGTGATTTTAAGGTCCTTGTCCCAGGATGAGGCCCATACCTGACATTGATATCAGCCTTAGGAATCTGAGACTAAAGAGGGCATAGGACTTTGGGGAGAACCCAATACTAATTTTCTCTTAAATAGTTATCATGTTAAACTGACTCTATTAATGACATATTGTTATACCCGTAGATTAAAGCATCTCTCAACTCTCACCAGAAACATTTCCTTATGCAACAGATGGTGATTAGCGCAAAAAACCACACCTGACTGACATGCGGACAAGAGGCTGCAGAGCGTTTATCCCTGAATAGGATATGAATATCAAACTTCTGCCTGTAAGGGTCAGGGATCATTGTGGAAGTGGGTCTGGGGTAGGTAAGAAAGAATGTCAGAGTTGAGGTGGTGGAAGACTACAAGGAAACAGTTTTTTTGACAAGTGGTCAGTTACTCATATAAACTCAGCAACAGTGACAGCATGCACAAGTCCTACGCAAGCTCAAACTAGAAAAAATATCCCAGCATAGACATGAGTAAGAAGTTCCAACCCCAGCTAAGGAAATTCTGGCAACAAATGGTTGAATACTGGTAGGGTTAGAGAGTCTCTACCAACCATGGCACTGTTGCTCCAGAGGATGGACAAATTAGACTCCATAGACCATATATATACATTAGAGTACATTAAATCAGATGGGGTACAGTCAGGGGAGGAGGAGATAGGGTAGGGAAGGGCATCTAAATGCTATCAAATTATATTGTATGCAAAGTGAAAACATTCAATAAAAATTTATTTTCATTTATTATTTTTATTTTTAATTATGTGTATATGTATGTATGTCTCTGTGAGGGTATGTGCACATAAGTGCAGGTGCCCTAGGAAGCTAGAGGTGTTTAATTCTCTAGAAACTGGAGCTACAGGTGTTTGTGAGCTGCCCAAAGTGGTTGCTGAGACTTGAACTCAGGTACTCTGAAAGAGCATTGATGCTTTTAACCTCTGTGCCATCTCTTCTCTCCAGACCTTTTGTTATGTTCTTAAGAATCAAATAAGCATTAATCATAAGCACACATTTTGATTATACTTCCTGTGTCAGATATGAAAAATACTTAAAAAGAAGCATCTTACATTTTCATGTAATGAAATCTGAAACTCAGAGAAGGAAAATTATCTTTCCTTGTCCAAATGGTCACATAGCATTGAGCAACAGAACCCAAGAGGGTGCCTCTATGCCAGGAGTAACAACAAGAAGGAGATCAGGAGATGATAATGGAGGAAGTCTGGTTCACACTTGCCTTTAATTCCAGCACTCTGATGGCTAACACAGCCAGACCACTATCAAGTTCAATGGTCTGTGTTAAAGTACACTAGAACACATCTTTTCTACACATCTGTATTCATTATTTGCTGGGAAAGGAGCACAGACCTGTGGATTTGCTTAGAATGCACTGAGTCAGTTGAACACAGCACCACTCCACACAATTCCTGGTGATGAGGCTTTCAAAGAGAGTGTGTGTTTCTCTAGGCAATAAATGTTTCAAGCCCCATTAAGGAATATAGACATATTTTGAAGGTATATTTAGATGTTCACTAAGTCTTATAGCAAAGTGACCCTTCCACAATAGTCCTCATCAGAAAGGTAATGTTTTAAACTCATACATATTCAATTTTATTTCAGCCATTTTTGGAATATTCTGGATCAGAAATCTATATTGTATATTACCACTTTGACCAGGAATCTGATCATAACTTGCCTTTAATTGTCCTAGTGATTCCAATAAATTCTGATGAATAAACATTTGCTAAATGGACATAAACAAACTGGCTTTGGAGGTTGGAGCAGCCTCACAATTTTCACACCCAAACCTATGGGAATCTGTTTCTGAGAGTTGTATCGAGAGAGATTGGGCTATATAGCAATCATTACAATACTGTAGAAATATTATTATTTCAAGGCTGTAACAGAATTTAAACACTCATTTTTCTACTTGTCTACCAATGGAGTACATGAGTATGTGGATATATTTCTTAATTCTGAAAACATTGGGTGTGTTAAATGTTTAGGTATGCAAAATACACAGGGGAAGAGATTGGAACAGACTAAATGGTAAATAAATACTGATCATATTTCATATTTAAGGATGAAGGATTTGGTTTTAATTTTTCCTAATTAGTATAAATTTCTCTGTGTCCTTTATACAGAACTTACAACTTTTTGGCCTGGAAGTCTCACACGTAGGAATTTTAAAAACATGGGTACCGGAATATTATTTCATTGCAATTTTGTCTTTTAAAAAGCTAAATCTGAATACCCAAGCTGTATGTAGCCTTTATCATCTGACTTTGGTAACTTAACATAGTGCTGATGAGATTCACCCATGAGAAACAACAGAATTTCAAAGGAAAAAATCAAGATTCAGAGAGAAAAGATAATAACCCACAGATTAATAACAATTTGGCCAGCAACAGAGTTTTTCAAAAGTAATAATGTATTTCTGAGGTATATCATGAAGTTTTAAAAGGCTAGGGGATGTACTAAATGGTAAGAATGGAATTGTCTAGTTATAAATGCATTATTCAAATGAATATGAATACTAATAAATTTAGGGGATTAGATAACACAAACATTAACACTTGAATACTCTGAATAAATAAGTTGAGGTATATGCTAGATAGATAAAGCAATCTGTTCAAGAAAGAGGACTGTGACAGACAAAACAATTTCATAATGTATTATAGTCAACCACAGGTCTATGAATTTAACTCTATGCCCCTTCTTATATCCCTCTATCTCTCTCTTTTTCTCCATTAGATGATGTGCCTTGGGTTTAAATTTTCTTCTTTAATTTTGGGTGAACAATATTTTGATCAAGAGTTTGGCTTGGAAATATACATTTCTAAATAATAATTGTCACATTTATGTTTCTTTTATTAAATTAAAAATGTTTATTTTTATTTTTGTGTATGAGTGTTATGGCTCATGTACTGTACCCACATCATGCAATATTCATGAAGGACAGAAGAGGGTCTAGGGATCCCTTGAATTGGAGTAATTGATGGTTATTAGCTGCCATGTGGGTGTCCCTGGGTTTCAAACCCAGGTCCTCTGCAAGAGCAGCCAGTGTTCTTAACTGCTGAGTCATCTCTCTAGGCCCCAAACATTTGTGCTTATTAGCTAGAGACTAATAAATCTAAATGAACATATTGAATAGCATAAGGGGTAACTGTCAATATATTCAAATATGTTCTTCCTATGCATAGTTTTGATATACTCATGCCCAAATAATGTGAAAGATTTAGTAAAATTAGAGCTTAATAAAATCCCAAGAGCCAGGTATGGCAGGAAACACCTTTAATCCCAACACTCCACTTGGGATGCAGAAAAAGGTGGTTCTCTGTGAGACTGAGGCCAGTCTGGTCTACAAAAAGAGTTCCAGGCCAGCTGCTGGGGTCACAAGAAGACCCTGTTTCAAAACAAACAAGCAAAACCCCCAAACCGAAAACAGCATAAAAAATCATGAAAATACAATATGTGTAGAGTCAGCAGTTCAGATAGCTACATGCCAATTGACAAAGCACAAAATAAACAATACCATAAACAACCCACATGATATCACTGTTTTCAAATTTTTATATTAGAGTTGGAAAATATATGTTTTTATTTTAATCTCTTGAAAACTGGAAACAACATTTTCCATGACATATGATAGGTAGGATAAGTTTTTCTTTTTTCTTCTTTTGGTCTCTAAGAACAGATGACAAAATAAGATTCTCTCAAAAAGCAGGTGGCAGCAATAATATTTATATAAATGAGAAATAATCACCACATCCTCTGAGAAGCTACATAATGTCAAAATGACTAATGAAAAGTGAGGCATTCTCACAACTTTCTGCTTTTCCAGAAACCGGATTTACACACGTATCCAGTCTCCTTTTTCAGTGAGGACACACGGACATTTGCATTCAGTAAATAAATAAATACTGTGCATTGTGATCATAGTCATTTCAAACAACTATTTTTAGTAGAATAATGAGATTTTCATTTTAGAGTAATTGCTCCTTATTTGGGAAACATTTCTGAAATACAGAGTAAAACTGCAATTATGTTTGTTTAAAACACAACTATTTTCAGTGACTTCCTTGAAAACCCTTTGCTATTGGGTCATGAAATGAAATCCTTAGTGAAGATGCCTCATTTTGTAAAATAAATTAAAGTACCTTTTAAAGATATTATTCAACAACAAAAGCAATTCAACTGACAAATTCTGAAAAGAAACAATTTAAGGAACTTGTCCCGTATTTTCTTGGTTCTTACACCATAAATAATGGGGTTCACCATGGGTGGGACAAGAAGGTAGATGTTGGCGACAAATATATGCACATGGGGAGTTACTTTATGCCCAAACCTGTGAGTGAGGAAGGAGAAGAAGGCCGGGGTATAAGACACTAAAATAACACAGACATGTGAGCCACAGGTGCCCAAAGTCTTGAGTCTGGCATCCTTGGAAGGCAGGCGGAAGACAGTGTTGAGAATGAGGACGTAAGAGCAGATTATCAATACGAAGTCCACCCCACCAGTAAGGAAGGCGACGCTGAGGCTGTAGGCTCTTTGGATGCTTGTCTCAGCACAGGCAATCTTGATGAGGGCCATGAACTCACAGTAGGTGTGGGAAATTATGTTGGTTCTGCAATAGGGAAGCCAGCGTAGCAGGAAAGGGTGAGGACTGAGAAGGGCCACACCCCGGAGTACCACAGCCAGGCCCATTTTTCCAGTTACCGTATGAGTCAGAATAGCCGAGTGTCGTAATGGGTTACAAATGGCTACATAACGGTCAAACGCCATGGCCAGGAAAAAGCCCGACTCCATGGTTGAGCAAGAGTGAATCAGGAAGACCTGAGTGAGGCAAGCTTCAAGGGGAATCTCTCCATCATGGAACCAGAAGAGACTGAGAAGTTTGGGGACAGCTGTAGTGCACACCACGAGGTCAGCCACGGCTAACATGCAGAGGAAGAGGAACATTGGCTCATGAAGGCTGGGGTCTGTCTTGATGATAAAAAGAAGTGAACAGTTTCCCAGCAGGGCCAAAATGTAGACCACAGAAAATGGGATGGAGATCCATATGTGTACCGCTTCCAACCCAGGAATGCCGATGAGAATGAAGGTCAGTGGATGGACCTCAGTCTTATTGTAGGCAGACATGACAGGTGTCCAGGGCTTTACCTTCCTCTTCATGGATATTTCCTCTTAAAGGACACAAAGAATAATGGATAATATTTTTAAACTCTTGAGAACTTATGAAGCCAAGATGCAGGGAACTGTAAATTATTGGTAGTTTTTATCCTTAGGATAAAATGTATCACAGAAAATTATCTCATTGCATAAAAGTACCAGGTGTAATTACAGAGTTACCCTGTCTTCAAAAGTTCACCACCTCAATTCATATATATATATATGTTATCTGTAATGAAGCCTTCAGGAAACATTTTCTTCTAGTAGAATGCCCTAAATATTCTGGTTCTCCTTATTTACCCATAGAGGAACTTTAACACTTTCTATTTTTAATGCATTAATATTTGCAGTACTATTAGTTTCCAGTTGCAATATGATTGATGCATAGATGCAAACGAAGAAATTCTTAAGCTCATACAGATTTCAATGTATGAAAATTCCGTAATCTTTCATTGAAAAGAACGTGATAGTGAAATGGAAAAAGTGTGTGTTGTGGTATAGAGGACTAAAATTTGTAGTAAAAAAATGAGGGGCCAGGTGTGGTGCCACATGTCTTTAATCCTAGCACTCAGGAGGCAGAGGCAGGCGGATCTCTGTGAGTTCAAGTCCAGCCTGGTCTACATAGTGAGATCCAGGACAGCTGGGGTTACAGGGAGACCCTGTCTCAAAAAGACC